TCTGAATTGTGAGTGGCATTTATATAATATTATACACACACACACACACACACACAATAATTAGGGTTAGAAAAAGCACAAACATTGCAAACCGTAATGGCGCGTGGAAAAGAGCAGTATGAATTAAGTTTAACATACCAATGTTAACGTTTTACGCAGAAAACCGCAAAAATGCAGCCAATCAATGGCAAAAATCATTGTCAACTATTGTCATCTCCGACTATTATCGACGTTATAGATTAGTTGTTGCAGCCCTACTCATAATTGCTAATTATCCGACTTCACTATAGGTCACTCAACCCATAACTCCTACATCAACTAGCGAGTGTGGAAGACCTTTGCCATCCTTTCTCAGCCACCCGCTACTGGCCACTTCGTGGGCTTCGTCGAGTGACATTACGCGCCTGACAGCGAGCATCAGTTGTTTGATTCTACTCAGAGTCCCACTGCAAGCTCCAGGTCAACAGCGGACGCTAATCCGGATCTCTACGGCGGGAAGTGCCCTGCCGGACTGCTAGGCTGCACTGGAGAGGCCCACAAAGGCATCATTTGAAAATGCTCCTGAGTTAGTCAAATTAACACAGACGGATGAGCAAGAAGGAGACAAAGTCTCCTAAAAGTACAAAGTCATGCCGGCATTTTGGATGCGAAAAGGCGGAATGAGCGATCCCTGCAACATTTTATGGCGAAAAAGTCACAAATCTATTACAAGTTACTGTCGAACCATTACCAATATGAAACTGAACTGCAAAAAAATCACGGATGCACTTCCTCAAATTATCTATCCTTTCAATAACTTTAATTAATCTACCTTATACTGGCACACACAAAATTTATTTTTGCATGCTGTTCTGATGACTCGATGGTTTGCTGAATTTCGAACGATGCACAATTTGCAAATGAATATTTTAGATAATTAAAACTCTGAGTAATAAAATTTTAAAGCTGTGGCACTTTAAAAATCCAACTCAGGGTCCAGACTGCTAGGACTGCCAACATCAAGGTGACTTCCCTAAGCACGGTCTGCCTGACCCAGTTTTCCGCTTGGAAGGATGTTGTGACCTTCCGTAGGGAGCGTCTTGATGTTACTGTTCACCGTCCACTTCATAATGATTGGCCGAATTGTTAAAAAAAACAGAATTCACATTTGAGGTTCTACTTCCAATTCTGCTACTGCTACAGCTAACCAACATCATCCCTGGGAAATTTTGACTGCTCTTTCATTTTCTCATGGTTGAATCCCAGGTTCATAATTTCCTACCAAACCCAAAGACGCCGTACAGAAAAGTGCAATTACACGCAGACCATTGTTACCTTGGCCAGAGACCGGACAGATGGCTCGTGTTACCTGGGAATGTAATTTTGAGAACCTGAGCTGATTAATATTTACCGTGGCAAGGGGATCTAAACGCTCATGCAATCAAATCTGTTTCAATTACTTTTAAATAAAAACAGATGCAACAGATCGAAAGATGGTTTCTTATTTATGATTACAGAGTCTAAGGCAATAATAAAAAAAAATAAAATCAAAAACTACTGTGGATTGGGCAGCTACCTTTGATAGCCACACGTCCACCTACTGCACTGGAATGCAAAGCATCTTTTAATTTTCCCACCCTGCACAAGCCACAGAAAACTGGGTTTGCAAAAAACGGCAGCCACACAGCACCTTATAGCATCACACTAATGTTACGGCAACCGGCACGTCCCAGAAACCCACAGAGAGTCGCACCCCGACGCCATGACACCAGCAAGCGCAAGACGATATCAGCAAATATGCAAATGTGATTAGCTCTCCCAACAGAGCACATTACAGGCTTTTTTTGTAAACAGATTATGGGGAGGAGAGGTGCATCTGTGTCCCTGTGTCTTGAACGCTGGTGGGGATTTGGAACCATGCCATGCACTGGCAGTTGGGCAAGCTCACCAGAGAACATCATGGAACCCCGCATTATTGAGTAATTAGAACAACAGCCCCCCCCACCCCCTTCCCAGGAGTAACCAGGGATGTCTAATACATTGTTTGGAATAACCTGTTCCAAGCAACTGTATATAGGTAAGATGGATTCATTCTGTCACCTTCCACAGACAGATACACGGAGAAGGAGAGAAAAACATAGGACGACAGAGATCTGCTGACACATAAACACCCAAAATATCCTAAATGAGCTGATGACTAATAGTTCTACTCACTTTCTGTACAAGTACCATGTTTCACCATGGGGTGCTAATTAGGCCAACGCTGACACTCTCTACACTCTGCTGATTTGCTGTGGAGTCGTCATCTTGTACTGAGAAAAAGGTTTTGGTGAATAAATACAAGAGGCAAGAAACTTGGTCTGCATGCGACGGAGACCAGTAACCTTTGGGATTGGGAGGGTGATGTTGATGGATCTTCTAAGCACTAAAATCTCCCTTTTTACCTCCAGCTTGTATTAACATTACAAAATTCTGGATGCAATTTTGTTCAGTTTCAATGAAGATAAACCATGCATAACTACTGTTCTGTAAATGGGGAACATTCTGAGAATAGCTGTTTATGGTAATTTTACTTTTATTCACTAGCTAGGGACAGAAAGCAGTGGCGTTTACTACCACTCAAAACAAATATTTGCATAGAGTCCCAAGGTCACTACAAACAGTTACTTCTCTAAATATCAAATAAGCGCATTCCTTGTTTAGGAGAAGCAGCATTCTACGGAGCAACTAGCCAGCCGCAATCTGCTGACTCTACTCACTAGTTATTTAATTTAGTTTTTGAAACATCAGAAAAGACTTTTTGAGGGAGGCCTCAGAAACAACAAACCTGCCCTGGTGACAGAAACAAAACAGCACATTATAACAAGCAATGTTATAACGTTTTACCTTCATTCACCTGCTGCTCATGACAGAAACTGAGCCGAAATCGAGACCTTGATATATAACATTGCATGAATCCTTCAGCATTTACACGAATGGGTCTAGAATTTACGTAGTGAAATTATAGATTTTTAAGTATGTCTTGAGATTTTAAACTTCCATTTAAACATTCAGCGTTGCGTAAATAGGACTAGGTGATATACTGCCAGTTCTGGGATATAAATATAAAATGCAACTGAAAACCTTTGAAATTTCACTTTTGCATTTTCGGCTACATTTTAAACAAAAAAGCCTGTTTCCCTTGCTTTGATTGCAACACGTGCGGCTTAAGCAGAAACACGGCAGGCTTTCAAGAGACCCTGACACCCTGTTGAGGTTAACAACATTATTCGAGGAATCGGCATATTTAATTAAGCTCCCTGATAAGGGTAAGTACTGTTTATTCAATTTGCTCCATTTTGTAGCTGGCGCAGATTCAATGGAAATCACTGAAGCAGATGGAGACTGTGTGAAAAACAATTAACGAACGCTTATGAATTCACCAAAACAGATGCTAACAATCAGTTGGGTTTTCAAACGAGACCTCTTCAGTTTCATTACAATTAGGCTATACCCGGACGGGGACGCAGCGTGTGCCAACTCTGTTACATGTGGCTCGTCTTCTAGCTAAGTTGCTGGGGTAGCTAGACTTAATGAGTCTCCTCCGACGGCAATGTGAATTTTTATAATGCAGTTACATTTAGTTACAAGACACATTTCCTTCTAAGCCAGAAGCTATTGGACTAATAAATTATTCATCTTCACTTTACAAATGTACATTAATTAATTAGAAGGATTAATATATTAAATATTGGAGGCAGGAAGAAGACCTTCAGATTAATATTCACAGGATTGTGTTTCAACGATTTGAAAACAGTATTTTTTTTAATAAGAGTTACAATGAAAAGTATTAAATTTTAATCCATCTTGATCTGGGTATGAAAAAAGAGTGATCAGATTCATCTTCACTGTAGACTGTGGCATGTGCTTTCTGTTCATATGAAGCTCTGTGTAATAATTACAAAATAATACATCTGTGGTTTTCAAAAGAAAATGAATCTTATCGTCCGTGTTTATTGACTTCTGTCTGCCTGTTAAGAATACCTCAGTCTAGCTGGTTGTTGCTGAAACCAACAACGCACTACAAAAACAACAAAAAGAACTGTGACTTCACCCCAAGTACTTCAATCTGTTGGTTTCAAAGAAGAAATATGTGAAGAGGTCTGGTTTCTTAGTAACTATGTCATTTTTATTGGATATGTTCATAGCAGGCCTATTCCGAACAAAACCAAACTAACCACTAACGCGTGTCCTTGCAGCTCACACTTTAATACTTAACATTCGAATAACATTGCAATCGTTTCCTTTATTATTCATATTTGTGCATTAAATTGTAGTGAAGTGCATTTTATATTGGTAAATCTTGTATTAGCAAATTTTCTCTTTCCTCTTACAATTGTGATACGCTGCTGTTCCTGTGTCCTCAGGCTGGGTTGATGTTCTTTGAATTCCTTGGCAACTGTCCAGCTATCCAGGTTTCAGTGGAAAAAAATGTAAATACCCCCCCCCCCAGGAAAGAGTCTGACTCCAACTGTCAGTATTGTGATGCTCGCTCAGAAGGCTCTGTCACTATTACTTCCACCCAAACAATAATTTTGTGTGAAATTCCATCCAGTCACGCCGTAACATGGTACTCATTAACACAGTTACGCAACCCCAAGGCAGCGGCAAATAAATAAATAAATAAATAAACAGAAATCTTTCAGCGCCACCCTGTGCCCACCGCTACAGGTGAGCAGGTGCTGCTTCCAGCATATTCCACCATTTATTTCATGTCAGCTCCGCGATAAATAATTTTGGTGGGGGGCAGGGGGGGTTGCTGCACTGTTTTCACGGGAGTTTTCGCCCTTCTCCTGGATGTCAGCCGCCCGTACGGGGGCCGCGTCTCTGTATCGCAAACGGGAACGAACGGGCAGTAACGGCTACAGCGGGGGGGTATATATTAATGACCCCCCCCCCCCCTCCATCCGCATGTCATGAAGTGACAGTGGAAATGAAGCAGGGAGACAGAGGCTGGCGTGAGCCGGCCGGCTGAGTCTAACCTGGGCCGTCAGCTCCTCCTCCGCCAGCCGTCCGCACGACTCGAGAGGGGCCTGGCCTCGGACCTCCTCCACAGCGGCTGTCTCTCCTCCTAGAGTCCCGACCGCCTCCTGCAGCTAGACAAGGTGCAAAATTTTATGTATTTCCATATCTTAGGCAAAATAAATGCAAGGAATCCTTTCATAATAATTTCAGTAATTAGTAATTTCAGTAATTTCAGTAATCTGTGAAATGCTGTAAAATGTTATGGCACAGGGGTGGAGCTGGGGGTGCCTGAGCACCTGCCCCTTTTGCTTGAATGAATGAAAGTGCCCCCCTCACCCTCAAAATGTTCCAAGTGCCCGTTTTTAATAATTTACTGACAAACATGCTAAATCACTGACCGAGCCCCCTTCCACCAATCACGAAAACTGAGGGGACCCCCCCGCCACCGGCCATAAAAACGTAGTGGTCAGCCACACCCCCCTGTTTCAGCACGTGTCCCACGAAAACTTTGTGCACGTCACTGCAAAACTGGCGGCCATTATCTGTGCACACGCTCCCTGTGACAAACTGGCCATTCCTGCCCAGTAATCACCTTATTCTGTGCTGCCCTTCCATCCCTCCGACTGATCCGAAGCTCAGCTCTCGACATTCCGGCTCTGATATCTCCATCTGCTATCTGGCTCTGTTCCTCCATTCCTGCATTATGATGAGAGCCCCGCTTGCTCCGTAGAATCACAACACTGTCTTCCCTTCCAGACAGCTGAAAGATAAAACAGACGTCCAAAGATTTTTAGGGTTAGTGATCAAATGCATCAGGCGCGGCATGCCAAATCAGATAAACAAGCCTTTAAGAGTTACTAAATAGTTTACTAGTTTTAATGATTAAATGTAGTATGTTTTACAGCATGGGAAATGCAGCTACCAAAAGTTTCTCTAAAACAAGAATAAACTATAAATAAATTATGCTAGGAATTAGTAGGGTAGGGTGGTTTAAGGATGTAAAATAGGGTTACTCCAGTAACCTGCTTCATTTGTAGAGGTATAACTCATAAACAGTAAGAGAGCATAGTTCCTAATTTGGTATGGGGAGACATCTTTTCAAACGTATTTCTGCTTCTAACCTCCAGGACAGAAGTGTGTCTGGTATGTGCACGAGCAGAGGGCATTGTTTAATACGTAACACGTGTGGATGTCACGACACGAGTGGCGGGCAATATCACAAAAACCGTCGCCATGGCTAAAAACTAAGCTGTCTCTGCGAAGTTAAGAAAAACACTGCAGCTCTCTCCTACTCAGCACACTTTCAAGTAAACTTCTCTTAATTTCCTCTTTGAGATCTCGAATAATCCCATCTTCGGCCTTCGACTGAGACCTACGATTATCGACATGCGGCTCCACAGTGTCGCCTGGCTTATGGCTGCAGGGAAGATAACCGGTGGAATATTAACAACTTCAAAAGAAAAGCCCCTAAAAGCCCTTTAAAACATCCTGCGTTAAATATTATGAAGAAGAAATGAATATTTTTCTAGAGAATTAATTCAATGATAAAACTAACCGCTGCAGGCAAAAAAATATATAAGTAAAACATAACTACATAACTGAAGATTATGTATGACAATAAAATTAGCAATACCCAAAGTGGGGAGGGGGAAAAGTATTTAAAAAAAAAAAAAAAAAAAAAACTTTAAAGAAATACCCCTTTAAGAAATGTATTAATAATTAAACACAATGAAATCTGCAAACAAAGTATATTATCTGCAACCGGTTGTCATGTCAACAACAACCTCACTATGTAACACAATGAGGATAAGAAAATGGCTGCCCCGTTACTGTATAATTTTCTTTTGTTTTACAAATCTGGAAAATCGTAAACACAGAACTGGCCATCTGTAATTTTATGGCAAGGGAAAAAAATACCCACATGCAGACAATATGGTTAAATATAAATTCCGGAGTCAACCGCTCACTCTTCAGGCTGGAAATCTGCATTGGCAGGAAAAAAATGTACAAAAATCCAGAAAAGAACTCATTAGCTCGTACAAAGATAGCTCAGACCTATGTCTACAGGCGGTAGTGTAAGGGCGTCAGCTGAAAGACTGCAATCAGTCAGGGGAGCCAACTCTCCTGTTGCTCATCAGAGGAGACAAGGAAGGAACGTAGCAATGAGAATTGGACAGACTTGGGATTTTGGGAGAGACTGTGACAGGGCACAGCAACAACCGGGCCGTAAGTGGCAATAGCTTAGGGGAGTTTGCAGCTGTCAAAGTCTCAGATAATTCCAGAGACATTTCGGCAGTCCTAAGACAAAACAGCTTCCCTAATAGGCATGACAAGCTTCTGGACACTTAGAGCTGAGATGAGATTTTCAATTAGCCGCTTAGCGATTTTGGCTAGGCAGGTGTGAAACACAGAGGCATGTGTCTGAATATATTAAAAATATATATTGTTCCTTAAGGATTCGGAGGAGGAGGTGATGTGGATCCTTTGTTTGCTAGCTGGCTATCCCCAGCGATGACTTTTTTTGTTTTGGATGATCTACACATCGAATGAAAAACACAGGCGTGATCACATACAGGCCTGCCCGCGGTGTCCCAGCAAAAAGCCAGCCTCTCATCTCAGGTGCACAAACAAAGAAAAGGCAAGGCCAGCAATTTACAGACGTCAGTATAAATATGGCATTAAAAGGAGGAGCAAATTATGTATCTCACCAAATCGGCTCACTGGCGTCTGCCGTGTCATTTTTTATTTTTTTTTTAATGTCTCGATACCACAGCAGAATTCTGCATTGACAGCAGTTTTTCTCCATTAAGAGGCATGTGACATTTGTGAAGGGGAAAAAAAAAAATATCACGGGGACAAAGGCATCTTTGTACGGACTTCCTGCCGTCGACGCCGATCCGGTCACGCGCTACAAAGGTGATTTCCTGTGAAGGGCGGCTCACCGCAGAGGAGGGTCCACTGGGCTGGGCTCTCCCGAAGCCCCTCGCCGGGGGAAGCAGGCCGCTAACAGGCAAACGGCCTCCAGGGGGCGGTGGTGGGGGTTGGGAAAGCTTGCACAAATTGCTGTTCCGAGGCGCTGACACCCAGGGGGTGCCCATTTACCCTATCACTTCAGACGCACGCGCCAGATGCCACCCCCCCCCCAACTTCATCACACCGCTGTCCCGGCCGTGCCGCTTTGGATGGCGCCTAGCTAGCCTGACATACAATTACAGATTGATCGTCTCATGCATATGTTACCGAGAATATTAGAGAGTTAGAGAGTAATTGCAACCAGAAAAGTCTTAAAATTCAAGGACACATGATACTCAGTTTCTGGCTATTTCTCTTAACCCTAAATATTAATCCCATGCTTAATGCGTGGAATATTACTATTAGTGCAAAATAGCCTTAATATTTCAAAGCGACAAATACATTTAATGTCCTTCTTTATATTTGCTGGCGGAAAATTGCGGTAGGCAATCTTAATACATATGCGAGCAGGTATCATGTTTAAATGATATTGCTGTATTTTTTCATGTTATAAGTTAATATATAGGCCTCATTTCACAACAGTCATCTGTTTTGTAGTATAAAATGAAGCCCATGCACTAAAATAAAATTAGAACACTTTATAAATTACATTATGTCAGGTTGACAAATGGTAGGACCTGTTACATTTAGCAACTAAGTATCTTAATGATCATTCAGCATTCATACGGTCGGAAGGGAAGTCAGCCCCTTGCTTTGCTGGCTACAAAACAGCCTCTCGATTTTTCATACTGTCATTCTGCTCTATTAGCAAAGCCTAACACAATTACTTATGAATATGCAGTAATAACATGCAAATGGTCCCCACCCCCATTGCCCCCAGGCAGCGGTCCCTCCCGTTCTAAACCCAATTCTTTCTACATCATTACAGCAGCTTGGCATCATTCATCAGAATTGTATTTATAAAAAAAAAATAAAAAAAAAAAGATCACATGACCAGGCCTTATTGCGTCGGCTTAGCGACCGTAACCGCCGGCGCCCATCAAGCGCCTGGCGACGACAGCGATGTTAACCACACCGTCCCGGAGCCCCGCCACCACGCCGCTTGTACGCGTCTCCCCAGGGTGATGTTAGACACTACATTTGCGCCCGCCAGAACAATTAACCCCTCTGTTAATTAGCGGGGAAAAATGTCAGGCGCACAGATGGTACGAGCTGGCACTCAGCCATCCCGCCAACTGCCCCCCCCACACACCCGCCCACGGCCGACAGATGCTCAGCCACACCCCCGCCGCGCCAGCAGATGTCAAAACTTTGCGCCGGAGGACTTCAGAGGCGGGGCGGGTGGGTGGGCACGTGCGTGTGTGGGGGTGGGCTCTCTCGCGCTAACAGGCAGTGCTGAGCATTTTCCACCCGTGGCTTCTGAGCACTGAAAAAAAGGCAGCATGTTATGACACGTGTGGTGCACGGGGCCCCGAGGACAGACTGCAATCCACGCCATATCACCCATAAACCTCGCTGGTATCACACACATCGATGCATTAGGTTCTGTCCATAGAGGCACTAATCAATGGCCCCACAGCTTTTTTCCACAGATTTTTATCATCATTATTCATAATTACCATTTTTACACATTATCATGCATTATTTCTTTTTTACTACAAATGATATTGTTTATATTTTGTGTCCATGCAGGCATGTTTTATTTTTTTCTTATAAAAGATCTTGATATATACTGTATGTAGCATTAATTAAAATATTAATTAATCTACCTGAATTGGTACTGAGCTTTCATCATTTCTGTTGGGAGGCCCACTAAAGAACCTGCCCAATATTACAAAAAAAAAAAACCACTTTAGGTCATCACTGTTAAACCATTTTAAAAGCGCTATGCTGATTTGATATCATATTACAGCTTTGTTCTGCATGCGAGTGCGACAGACCGCCGCAGAGGATGAGGCGACGGCCGTGGGATTTCCTAAATCACTAGTGACGGCAGGTCCGGGTCGCCACCCGCACTCCCTGGTCACCGTGTAGTATATCGATTTGTTTGCTGCACTAATAGGAGGGTGGCTCGCGCAAAGCAAGGGCCCTGAAACAAGTCAATACAGGAAAATCGGATGGTTTAAGCCAGAATGTGAGCTCTGCCGGAAAAGTAAGTGTGATGGGGNATTTCAGGTGAGAGATCTGTACTGATGTTATTAAGTCTATATATAATTACAGCTCACACTGATTCATACTTATACTATGTATCATACTAATTTAATTATTTATATGCATATATAGGTATAGATATTTCATTATATAGATTTTATTTTATATAGAGATATATTTATATAATTTTAGAAATAACTACATAACACGTGTTAGTTAAAAAGCACAACGAACAATGAAATATTGAGGAAAAAAAGATCCTGTTTACTGAAAAGGATATATTTTACATCCAATAAAACTGTATTACGAACAAAACAAAAAAAAAATCCAAAAAGCAGCGACATTAATAAAAAGGGGCTGACTTATTCTGACTGATTCCGCTTGTATTAAAATATATAAATAAACATATGTGTAAACAAAGCAATCACACACAAGAAAACAGATGAAAGACTGCAAACTTTGTCACCAACCACAGTGATAGCACCCCCGGGGGTAATTTCAGTCTGCTCCTCTTATAGCCCACCCCTGTGGCACGTTGCTGACTAAGTTTTTATATTTTCATCATTAAATTTCTCCCCAATGTCTTTAAGTGGAGTTTGTCTGAACAAACTCCAGGGCCAGCTGTGAAAAAATAAC